AACGAATAATATGGAACTAGCTGATTGTCTGAGACTGCCTACTGATATATTTTGCTGCACCCTTTCAAGACAGTGTGAAAAATAACAATTTCAGATTTATATGGAGTTTTCCTAAGCTTTGAAATGGAGTCTCCTTTGTGTTTCATTGTTTCTTCTGTTCATTATGTCCTATCAAGCTATTGCAAATAGATTTACACTCTTTTTACAATGCTGGGATCCTTCCTTGCCCCTTAGATCACTTGACTAGGTCTGGGTGGAGAGTCTCAGAATCAAATAAATCTACTTTCAGCAGTAGAAGATCAGTGATTTGGCCAGCTATTCTATTTCATAGAGGTATTCTTCTTTTTCAAATTCAAACAATTCAAAAGAAGGAAAGGGGGACTTCCGGTTTGCTCCTCGTCGCTGCCAGATGGTCCCTCGGGACCGCCAGCCCCATCGCCTGTAAAGAGCCGCCTTTACAACAGAAAGGCGGCTCGATAAACTCCATTTCCATGAGGAAATGCGAGATAGAGCCGGTGAGGGCAGGTAGAGCTATCTGTGAAGCCCCAAAAGTTTTTTTTTTACTTTTGGGGACGAAGCAGATGAGGCTCCCTATTTCCCCCGCCGCCGCTCCGGGCTTTGGGAGACCTCTGCCTTTTTGCAGAGCCAGGCGATGAGAACAAGCCTATTAAAGAAAACTAACAGATTAATTAAAGAGGATGAGATCTGGATCTGTGACCCTGAATCGCAAGTATTTTCATTTATTTTACAAAAGTTACTGAAGAAGGAAAAAAGATTTTTAAAATGGCGACTGTCGAGGCTTGAGAAGGGGCTGAAAGGGAAAGTCCTTCCGTTTCTTAATAAGCTACAAAGTAGCGGAATAAACATTGCTGGCTACAACTGAAGAAAAAGTTCTACTTTTATGTCTTCTTTTTCCTGGAGATTTGATATTAATCTTGTTTGGAAAGAAGTTTTTTCTTTCTTTCTTTGCTTTTCTTTTCTTTTTTAAGAGAGTTTGTCTGTGTGGAAATATGGCATTTAGACTTACAAAGCCAGACAAACAAGCAGTGGGGGGTGGGGATTCCCCCATCTATAAATTACATGAACAAGTTCTAAACCTACAGACTCAGAAAACTGATTTTAATATAATTGAATTTCTCTTGGAGGAGATTGTAAGAAGGGATGAGATTGTGAATCAGAACTTTGAAAAATTTAAGCAGGAAATTAAATAAATGGTGCAATTAAAGTTTGATACTTTGCAACGAAAGATTGTAAAAGTGACTAATGGTTTTTCAGAAATTGTTATGAAGTTGGGTACAAATATTGATTTATTAGAGTCTAAAATGGAGGAAATTGAGGATAATTTGGACAATAAAATACAAAGAACTGAAAATGATTTGATAAACACTCAAGATAATAGCTTAGAAGAAAAACTTAAAATGGAAGCTGATCATAAGACTTGTAATGCAGAAAATATTAAATAACGGATTGAAAAAGAAGTTTTAATGATGCAATATAATTTCACAGAATATGCGATTAGACTGAGAGGATTACAGGAAAACAACAGAGATGATTTAAGGAAAATATCTTCTGAAATTCTGGCTGGGATTTTAAAGGTTCACCCTGAGGAAGTATTTTGTAGGATTGACAGAGTTTATAGAATAAATTCCTGGATTGCAAAGCAAAGGCAACTGCCTAGAGATGTGGTGATTTATTTTACAGATAAAGAAATAAGAAATAATATTGTGCAAAAATCTTTTAATTCTACTTTGCAATTGTTTGGAAGAAAGATTTGGATATATAAAGAGTTACCGCCTAAGATGTTATTGGAAAGAAAGAAATTTGGTTTTCTGGTGACTGAACTTAAAAAACAAAATATTTTATTTAGGTGGGATGCGCCAGTTGGTATAATATTGAGATATCAAGGAGAAAGATACCAATTAAATACTGTTGAAAAAGCGGAAGAATTTCACCAAAAATTTTTGAAAATGAGTTCAACATTTTTATGCACAACACAAGATAAGCAGAAGGAGTTGGAAATAAAGGAAAAATATCGAGTTACAGAGGCTTCTGTAGTTGAATTGCCTTTGGATTCTTTAGATACCTCAGCTGGATTATCTATAAATAAGAGAGATGTGGCATTGGATTCTAACGTGATGATTCATCAAGTTACAGACAAGCATGGAAATCAATTAGTTGATACACAATTTATAGAAAAGAAACATGAGTCACAAAAGCAAAACCAACAAGATCAAGTTATAAATCAGAACGAAAACCGATCAGTCGACATACAATTCATAGAAAGGAAATTGGATGGAGATCAAACCCACAAAAAGTCAAGAAAAAAAGAAATAGATCTCACAAAAATAAAAATTTCTAAATTAGGCAACAGTGAAGCCAGTTATTTAAAAGAAGACTGAATACAAGAAAAGATAGTTGAGGCGAAGTATTGGTTAATATTATCCAGAGAAGAGTGACAGACCTCTGCAATGCTGTAATTTTGGGATGTGAAAATGGCCTTAAATAGTTGGATTGGAATTATCTAATTTGGATTTTTTTTTGATAAATATATTATATTTATGCTGAGCTACATGGCAAGAGAGCTATGCTGGGGCATGCAGAAGATCTGGTTGTCACCCCATTATGACGGTGGGAATTAATAATCTTGAAGAAAACCACTATTACAGATATTATATGGAATACAATTATAATGTCACTCGGGTGGTTGTTTTCTTTTTTTTATATACATGAAGATATTTATTATTGATGGGGGCAGATGATAACTGAGGATTTTGAACATTCTGTTGCAATCAGGATGTTACGTTACCCTAATATGGGTGATGGAGTTAACAATCCAGTGGAAAGACATCAAAGAAGACATTATATGGATTATAAATTTAAAGTTATTGATTTTATCTATATAAGGGAATATTTTTTTTAGTAGGGTGGGCAGAAGAATAAAGATATTAAGAATTGCTATGTATGGTAATTTTGTAGGAAAGTGGGTGGAGACAGGCTAGTTTATTGACTGTTTAGTTTAAGAAAAGGGATGTTTAAGAGATATATTTATGGGAGTGGAGGAAATGGATAGACTATGAGCTGAATAAATGTTAAATTAGGATTTATTATATAGTTTTATAGTGGAAGGCTGCTTTGAAATGTTATATTAATATACACAAAAGATTAAATGTTAAATTAGGATTTATTATATAGTCTTAAAGTGGAAGGTTGTTTTGAAATGTTATATTAATATATAGATATATGTATGGGGGAGGAGAAAAAGGGCAGATTATTGCTAAATTGGGAGTTATAATAATATTATTATGCTAAATCAGAAGTTATTATACAATGTTATAGTAGAATGTTATTTTGAAATGTATAGTAAAAGGGGGATGTAATAATATTATTAGAAAGAAAGGGTCAGTATTAGGGGGATGGAGTAAGGGGATGGTAAAGTATTATATAATCTGTTATGAATCTGGATCTTACTTTGAAGAAGTCACAGGGGGAGGGGTGGTGAGGGGGGGTTAGGGAGGAGGGGGGGAGAAAAAAGGGGGAAAATTTGTATTTGAAAAACTTTTTCAATAAAAAAAAAAGAAGGAAAGGGGAAGAGGGAGGACTGTACTAATTGATCTGCCGTCCTGTTACTGTCATGGCTTCTGATACACTTTGCAAATCAGCAAAATTAACTTCTCTCCAGACTTATTCTTCTGTTTCAAGAAAGATAGAGACCATAATTCTCTATATTTTGCCCTGATGCTTTAAGAAATGTATAGAGGACAGAGAAAAGCCTAAGAGGAATGAGCTAAATTTTCTATTGTTGGATGAATTCATGAATGTCTAGAACGGGTCATCTCTAATAGTTTGTGTCCTATTGCACGGATCTTTAAACTCAACATGGCTGGCTGAGGAATGCTGGGAATTGAAATCTACAAGTTTTAAAATTGCCAAATTTGGAGACTCCGACCCCTATTGGGATTGCCTTCTTCTTAATCTCCTAGTTGAGTGAATAAACATTTTATTGTATGGGAGAAATACATGTGAGCTATTTTCAGAGACAATAAGCACAACATCTATTATTTCCCCCAACAATGTATGTCTTTGGATGGGCAGTTCTCCACAAGCATTAACCTTAAAGGATTCACAAGCATTCTAAAGGTAAAGGTAAAGGTTCCCCTGGCACATATGTGCTAATCGTTCCCAACTCTAGGGGGTGGTGCTCATCTCCGTTTCAAAACCAAAGAACCAGCACTATCTGAAGACGTCTCTGTGGTCATGTGGCCGGCATGACTCAATGCCAAAGGTGCATGGAACGCTGTTCCCTTCCCACCAAAGTGGTCCCTATTTTTCTACTTGCATTTTTTATGTGCTTTTGAACTGCTAGGTTGGCAGAAGCTGGGACAAGTAACGGGAGCTCACCCCATTATGCAGCACTAGGGATTCAAACTGCTGAACTGCCAACCTTTTGATTGACAAGCTCAGCGTCTTAGCCACTGAGCCACCGCATCCCTACAAGCATCCTATGTAGCCGTCATTTTGCTGTTAACTGTATCAATGCACTAAATCCTTCTGGGTTACAAGTCAAACGTTCACTTCCCTCCCCCTTTAAAAATAGATTTAAAATATGATTCCACCTCCTCAAGAACCAGATGTTTGCCATCGCCCTCCAACACAGCTCAGCTCCCATGCGTTTCCTCTCCCTGGTGTTCCTTCTCAAGGGGAATTTGCATAACAACATGGGACGCACAAAATGCTTGAAAGCCACCAACCATGACAGGGCAAATTACTATCATTTGTCAACCCCCGTGTGCAAGGTGATCCACTTCAGGCGACGGAGATTGGCGGCATGCTGGGCAAGGTTGGTGCGGCGAGACAAAATGGTCGCGCCTGGCATTCACAAATGCTCGATTGCCTTATTATTATTATTAATTTTGGGGGGGGGGCCCTCCTCCCTGTGGGAAGTTAGAAGATGGAAACTGCAGAGCGACAGGCTGAAGAAGCCCAGGGCTACAGCGACTTACCCGCCGTAAGCTGGAATCGGTGGCGGGGGTGCTGCAGCTCGAAATGTGTTGTAGACGGTGCGACCTCTGCCTCGAAGGTGGGCCCCTCGGTACGCGGCAGCTGCAGTTGCAGCTGGATACGGGAAACCCGGCACTATTAAAAAAAAAGACAAAAATACAACAGGTGGTTGATACTTTTCTTCCTTCTGTTTCCAAAAGGAGAAGATGCTGGATCATTCCACATTCAACAGAATCAAGGCTTAGCCTTTCTCAATGAAGTCTGCTTTCTCAAATTTGTCATATTCTCAAATGAACAACGGAGGGCAAGAATAAGGTGTGGTGTGTTACCTAGGGGAGAAAAGTCTTGGTTTCAAACCCAGCACAAATCCATTTCTGGGTTCTAAAAGGTTGAATCATGGCAACCTTTTTATGGCAAATTTTGGCCAGTTGCCGTGATTCAACCTTTTAGATACCTTTGGCCTGGATGACTGAGTCTTCATTGACATATTTCTGGGTTCTCATAGATCTTTGGGTCAGCTGCAGTTCGGTAGAAGTTGAAGGTGGCCTGTTTTGGTTGACCTGAATTGGGGATGAAACAAATTCCAGTTGGGATGAATAGGACCAAGCTGGTATGTGTCATTTCCACTCAGTAGACCAGTGTTTCTCAACCTTGTGGAATTTAAGATGCATGGACTTCAGTTCCAACTTTGTGGACTTTAAGATGTATGGACTTCAGTGGTTTTCTGGGTGCAAGGAAAAGGGGGGGGTTGAATGTTCTTTAATCACATTTTATTATATGGTGTATTTTTTAAATGTTGTAAGCCACTTGGAGTCACGTTAATGTGAGTTGGGTGGCTAAATATATTTAACAAACAAAGAAACAAACAAAGCCAGTAATATAATTGAAGGCAACTCTTAGCAAATTGTCTTTACATGAATGTCATTGTACTATATCAGAATCTGTTAATATTAACCATAGTCTTTACATGTGGATTTCAGTGATAGATTTACAACTTCGTGCTAGTTTTCTAATTTCACCATATAATACAGGCGGAACTGTAAATGTTGGCCAGTAAACTGACATGAAGATTTGATGTAGTTCTTTTATTTGAAGGCATCCTTTAATTAAAGAGCTGTCTAGTTCATATTTGGTTTAAAGAAGCTGAGGAAATGAGTAGAACAGGAGTCAGGTTTTCTACCTGGCTGGCTAGTCTGAAACTAATGAGTGGCATTCAATGATATGAAAAGTGGACCCTGCATTTGTGGGAATGTGCTAGGGAGGAGGAGGAGGAGGAGGAGGAGGAGGAGGAGGAGGAGGAGGAGAAGGAGAAGGAGAAGGAGAAGGAGAAGGAGAAGGAGAAGGAGAAGGAGAAGGAGAAGGAGAAGGAGAAAAGAAGGAGGAGGAGGAGGAAGGAGGAGGAGGAGGGGGAGAAGAAGAAAAAGAAGGAGGAGGAGAAGAAGGAGAAGAAGAAGAAAAAAAAGGAGAAGAAGAGGAAGAGGAAGAAGAAGAAGAGGAAGAGGAAGAAGGAGAAGGAGAAGGAGACATGAATCTGGGAACTTCTGATAAGTGATTTATTACAGAAGAGTTCAAAAACCATTACGAAAGAAATCCAGAAAGTGCTGGTATCAAGTGCAATTCTGTTTGTAATAATCAATATTCATACTCTTTGCATCCTTTTTTTAATCACCTTCCCATTCTACATAAAAGGCTCAAAATTCTCTTTTGGCACCTTGAGAACCATTTCTCACCTTGCAAAGGAGTCTAGCAACTATTTCCAAAAACAATCAATAGGAGCAGGCCACCCACGTTCACCAGAGACACAAACCTCCCGCTCATTTTTTTTTTAATTTCAAAGAAGCGCTAGAAATAAGCACCAGAGAATCCTCTGCCTTACAGATAGCTTTTTCATTTTAAAATATAATTCTCTCTCCAGAACTCTCCTGTTGTTACTTTAACATTCTTGTTCATAAATCTCACTAATCAGAGTCTTCAAAGACTTGTTCCTAGGATGAAATGCTTCTTCATCAGAAGAAACGGAAGAAACGGTAACAAAAATCTGACAGCCGAAGAGATATCGTTTCTGTCTGCTCTTTGTTTTGGCGGATGGACTGATCCAGCCTCAGATGGTTAACTTTTCCTCATAAACATAACATCTCCTCCATCATAAACATGATCATGTGAAACCTTCACTTCCACAGGAAGGACCTAAGAAACTTTTTAAATGGAATTCAGACAGGAGGCAGACTAGGAGCTGACCTCTTTTCCCACTATAGTGAAATCTAACTTAATTCGATTTAATTTGTCTCATATAGAAAATACAATCATAGGGACCTTCGAGGTATTCTAGTCTAACCTGTCAGCATTCCAGAACAACCCAACTCCAATCAAAAACTCCGATACAAGCTTCATCTCAAAATCTTCATTTATTTACGGTCTGATTTGGCTCTGCAACCCAACAAGACGGACACAGACCTCAGAGGATAATTAGAACTGCAGAAAAAACAATGACTACCAACCTGCCTTCCATTGAGGACCTGTATACTGCACGAGTCAGAAAGAAGACTGTGAAAATATTTACAGATCCTTCACATCCTGGACATAAAGTGTTTCAACATCTACCCTCAAAACGACGTATAGAGCACTGCACACCAGATACAAGAACAGTTTTTTCCAGAATGCCATCACTCTGCTAAACAAATAATTCCCTCAACACTGTCAAACTATTCACTAAGTCTGCATTACTATTAATCTTCTCATAGTTCCTACCACCCATCTCCTTCCACTTATGATTGTATGACTAATTTAGTTCCTTGTATCCTTACGATTTATATTGATATTGTTTCCTGATTGCTTATTTGTACTCTATGACTATCATTAAGTGTTGTATCTTGTGATTCTTGATGAACCTATCTTTTCTTTTATGTACACTGAGAGCATATGCACCAAGACAAATTCCTTGTGTGTCCTTGTGTGAGTTGCTTGAAGTCAGGCAATGTACAAATTAAATTTAAAAAATAAGATACGTTTATAAAATAAAACACTGCAAAGGTATCTTTTTTGTCCCATGGACTTTCATGAATGACTTTTTTACTTTTATGTCAAGGTGTAAAACTATCTCGGAGTCAACAAACATTTTGTCTGAATCGAAATGCTGTGATTAATTAGGAAGTTCTAATTCATGCAAAAGTTCTACAAAGTTTCTTTTTAATTGATTAGATTAGCTAAATTTTTCTGCAGAACTGGAAGGGAAAGTATGGCACTGAGGTTCTGTCTAAAATTAAAGGTAACTACTGGGATTACGTTCGAAAGAAAGCTTAAAAATTTTAACAAGGTGTCTTAGAAAGCTTTTTCACTTCTGCAAGATTGATTTATAATCCAATTAAAATTCATTTATCTAATGGTAGCCCTTGGAGTTAACTAAACAGTAGCCAAATCCATGCATCCCACCAAGATAAAATGTGTTGTACTTGGTTGAAGAACCTAGTTACCATGAAATGTAAGCCAGGCTTTAGTGTATTGTGTGGATCTGGTAAATTGTCACTTATTCAACAAAGTTAGGTTAAGCTCATCATGGCTTAGCATAATGAATGCATTGAATCTATGTCTCACACAGCTTAACTGAGTTTCAGGAGAGATCAGCGAAAATTCATTCTTTAACTCTATCTCATACATATTTAAGCAGTTGTGCATATTTAAATCCTGAAGTACGGTGATATTGTACTTCCATTAGATTTTTTTTTTTTAAAAAAAGACTGAAACATAATTAAAACATGTGCCAAAATTGCATTCCCTCCCACCAGAAGATGAATCCCTAGGCCAGAGGAACCCTTGTCAAGTCTAAGCCAGGGATCTCCAAACGTGGCAACTTTAAGACTTGGGGACTTCAACTCCCAGAATTTCAAAGCCAAAGAGCCAGCGCTGTCCAAAGACGTCTCCGTGGTCATGTGGCCGGCATGACTAAATGCCAAAGATGCACGGAATGCTGTTACCTTCCCACCAAAGGTGGTCCCTATTTTTCTACTTGCATTTTTTACGTGCTTTCGGACTGCTAGGTTGGCAGAAGCTGGGACAAGGAACGGGAGCTCACCCCATTACATGGCACTAGGGACTTGAACTGCTGAACTACTGACCTTTCAATCGACAAGCTCAGCTTCTTAGCCACTGAGCCACCGCATCCCTTTGTATGTTGTACAGTTAGTGTTCAGTATATCATTGAGGAAAAATGCACCATAAATATTAAGTTTTAATGCTATTAAAGCAATTTGAACAACATGACAAAGGATTTTATTTGGATCTCAAAGCTGGGCACCAATATCACCACTATTTTGTTGCTTAATATTTATCTTTTTTTTATCCAAAAAAAAAAAAGGAAAAGAAAAAAAAAAGGAAAAAATATGATCCAATCCTTTTTTTGTGTCCATAAGAGAAAGAGAAGTAGTGGTTTAAAATTTAGGACATGTATGTTCTGGGTGCCTGGAAACATGTGAAAAATGACGGAGAAATGAGATGCATGTAGACAGATATATGGTGCATAGATCAACTCCAATCTAATCAGGATTGTCAATTTAATTCAGAAAATCAAGTATCTTTTTATTTAGTACTTTGATTCAAAATGTTGAATTATGCTGAATTTCAATTTTTCCGAATTGGTTACAAATAAATGACAGCATTTTCCACATGCAAATGGTGGAGGGAATCTCATTTGATTCAATGAATCAGTGAAATTAATTGAATTTGGAAAATCCATTCAGTTTAGAGGTTTGATGGATTGTGGGGTTGGAGTTGGAAAAGAATCAGACACTACAGAATACAGAATAACAGTTGGAAGGGAAAGTCTAGCCTAACTCCTTGCTCAAGCAGGAAGCCCTATAACAGTGATGGCTAACCTTTTTGCCGTCGCGTGCCAAAAGCAGAAGGAGTGCGGGTGGTTGTGTGCATGTGTGCCCATACCCATAATTCAATGCACCCCACCCCCGCGCATGTGCGTGTGACCCCCCCACGACCCCCCCACTTTTGGCATGCGATGGCACGGTGGGCCCGGTAAATCTGTTTTTTGCCCTCCCCAGGCTCCAGAGGCTTTCTTGGAGCCTGGGGAGGGCAAAAACAGCCTTCCCCACCCCCCGGGAGGTCCTCCAGAGGCCGGAAATGGCCTG